CCTCTCTCTCTGTTTGCACCCATCTGGTGCACCACAGAGGAGCAACTTCTTGACTGTGCAGGTGACCATGCACTGGAACAGTTTTCCCAGAGAGGTGGTGAGGTCTCTCTCACTGGAGACATTCAAGAACCAACTGGATGTACTCCTGTTCCATGAGCTCTAGGATGACCCTGCTTGAGCAGGGAGGTTGAAGCAGATGCTGCACTGTGGGTCCCCTCCAACCTGACCCGTTCTGTGTTTTGGTGTCTGGTAGAGTTGATGGTGTCCATACAGCAACAGGTGCTTGTATCCACAGGCTGCATGGGTGTGGCCATTTAGCACTTTTGAAGTCATTTCTGATAGAACTTAGGTATTAATAGTTGTAAGCCTTCAGCCATGTCATCTGTCCTGCATGTGCACTCAGACCTGCTAACACGGCATTTTCTTATGAAGCAAACTGGGCTCAACAGAAGAAAAGAGAACAAAACCCAACAAATTATACTTTCCAAGTTTTCAAAGTGGAGTGCGTGGGCCAGGAGCCCCTCATCTACTTTTACTGCACTGGGGAGGTGAGCAGGACAGCAGCCATCCTCCACACCCAGGGCTTCAGCTGTGTGGGTTTGGGGCCAACATCCAAACCACACAGCTGGTGGACTTAGAGGAAGCTGTAATGAGGAAAGCAAGTGTCAGCCCCATAAGAGGATGCTCCTCTTCAGCTTTCTTGGGAGGCAGTTGTAAGTGAGGGTTTTCTCACACTCAGATCCTTCCTGAGCTGCGGTGCAGCAGGGTCTCAGCTGGGGTGCAAGGTGTCCATCTAAACTCAGTCCTTGACCTATGGAGCAGCCTCCCAGCCTAGCCACAGGCCTGCCTTGTCACTGCAACATGGGCTCTCAGCTGAGCCTGGCAGCCATCCCCAGGCCTGCAGGATGTGTTTGGCTTCCCACTCCCCTCCCTTTGCGGGACAGCCTGCCCTGCTGCTCCCCGACAGCAGTCCACAGCACAAAGGTACAAATGAGCATGGGAGAAGGGATGGGAAATTGCAGAAGCTTTATATATATTATCATGTATTTAAAACAAAAAATTAAAAGTATCTGATACATTGAATGTTTTGGTGCTGGCCAAAAATGAATGAGACAACTTCTCTCTATTAGTCTGCTAATAAATGCTGCACACTGTTATTTACGAGACCAGAGAGACCACATTTTTTACACATAGCCCTTGGGTGATAAAATCACCAGTCGATATGCATGCATAATTCTTGTGAACATCATTGTAACCCCATATGTTCTCAGGTCTTAAAGGCACCATGTGAATAAGCCCTGGGAGGGCTTGGCTGGTCATAGCCAATTATGACCGAGAAGGTCGTAAATCGACACACAAACACAGGTCTATTAAAAAGCTATTAGATCATCTACATCAGCCATTCAGCTGTTCTGAAATTGGACTTGGGCAAACACATGTGGTCTGATGCCCAGTCGTCATTCATCTGTCCTTTTCCCACAGAGAGATCCTGACCTGCTCCAGAGGCTCTCCAGAGACAGGGCTCTGTTGCACAGCATACAGTGTACGTACAGAGGTTGTATGCAGCCTCTTTCCAAGCTGTTTGCAATTGCTTGCCCCTCACAACCTTAATCTGAATCTAGAACCTGCATATTTCTTCTGCTTGATACAGGAAATATTTTCAGGTGACATTTAATGCAAGCTGCCATAATCAAAGGTTAACTCCCATATGGACAGAGATAGCAATGGTCTGGTACAACACACCTGGGTTTATATTTTCTCACTAAGGTGTTTTGTAACAGTTCACCCTCCAGGCACTAGACAGAAGAGTGGAGGCAGACCTCCAGGCTAATGAGGTGCAAAGTTGTCACCTAAATATGAAGTCAAGAATCCAGAGACCTTCCTTGCACCCTTGGCAGAAGATTAAGTGGAACAGAGAAAGGCAGTACTGGTAACATGGGTAGAGCTGCAAATTTGGAAAGGCTGTGCTCATGCTGCCAGCACTGCAATCACAACTTGATGTCCAAACACTGGACTGGTGCTGCTGCTCTGTGTTGGATCGCCTCATTAAATGCTGATCTGAACTCTGCCATCCTTTCTGCTGCAAGTCCTTTTGTGAGGACTTTGCTCAGTTCTCAATCATGCTGACGGGAAAAGTGCCTTCCATTCTCTATAAATTTTTGTATGTACTGGGTGACTTCCTCAGCTTTTTATATTTTAATTGCTTTGTCAAAAAGAGTAATTCAAAGCCTTTTAGAAAATTCCCGGGGTGGTTTCACCACAGTTCCACACATGACCTCTTCTCCTCTCAGAGAATTGCAAGAGTGACTTTTATCCTTACAGCACCAAAACACTTGCATGCTTCACCTCCTTTTTTCTTGTCTCTGGATGATTGCATGGCCTTGCTTGTGTTCCATTTGTCCAAGGAAGAAAATAAAAGGTCAATGTCTCAATCTGTATATCTCAACCTTTTACAAGTATTGAAACTCAAAGTAAAGTATGTTTTTAAAATAATATATTTCTGTAAAGGTGAATAAGAGTCAGCTAGTGAACCGATCCTTTTCCTTCAGTTTCAGGGATTTGAATTCAAATTATTCATTCTACCACCTTGTCTAGATTAATGAGGCTGAATAGAGAAAACTTTAAGAGAGATTATTAACTTTTTACTGAGAGTGAATGAAGTTCATGGTCCCACACTAGACCTTGCCTTCTGCACTAATGACAGTGATTTATCGCTGGTCTTTCATTATTTAAAAATAGTTTGCCACCTAAATGCATGGCAGTGAATTTGAGTGAAAGACATGACTCTGTAAGACAGCATTTACAACTAGCACTGGTTCAAGAAAATAAGTGCAACTTTATGACTGGATAAAATTTAAGGATTTTGTTCTAGTCATTTGTAATGTAGAGAGCAGCTGATTCTGTGTAGGATCCTTTTTTCAGTACACGTTTTTAATTGTACAAGTGCTTTTTAGCTTGATATAAATAGCAGGCTATTAGGAAAGTTTGCAAAAAATCTAGTTGTGTCTACCTTTATGGACCCTTTTCAAGTTTCAGTCTACTCTTTTTTTTCCAAGTCTGAGTAGCAGACCATAGCTATATGGTCTATACCTACAATTTCTTGAAAGTAGCTTTTGGGTTTATCCTTTGCTTCTCGTGCCATCCAACAAATTCTTCTCCTCATAAAGTTCACTTGCAATGCAATGTGTATTTGTGTTGCTGTCCTAGGGTGACTTCATGATGCTTGCACCCCCAATAGTCTGTTCTGTTTATTCTGGATATTGAGTTCTGCACCTTTAAAACTAGAACTGAGATTGAAGAGGGGCAGAAAAGGGAAACACAGTGGAAATTTTTTTGGAGCTGCATTGAAAAACATTGAGATAAGAGCTTCAGGTCTCTCTCTCAGTGCGTGTTGTCTGTAGCACAGACAGAGTTGGAGAGAACTCTTTCGCTTTTAGTTAGTCTTTTTAGCTAGCTGAGGCAGAGAAGTTCCCGGACTGTGGCTTTTCTTTTTCCTGGAACAGATCAGCCTGCTCTGGACTGAAAACCCAGAAGAACACCAGGATCTCACACCTGTAGCCCAGCAGGGCCTGGGACATGGCATTTTCCAGAGCAGGAGGGACTGATAAGGGCCTGAGCGAGCCAAGCTGCACCCCACGACAAGGACTTTCTGAATTTGCTATCTCTTCAGAACAGAGAAAGGTTCCATTGTTTAACATTACTAATTTTTTCATGCTTGTGAGTACTTTGCTTGTTAAATAAACAGGGTTTTTCCACTTTTCTTGAAGGAGATTTTTATCTCCCAAACCGGTGTGGGGAGGGGCTGCTTGACTTTGCTTTCTAGAGGGACCCCATTCAGAGGTTTCCTCCTGAATCTGTCCCATACCAGGACAGTTGCTAAGACTGCTAAATTTGCCTTCACAAGGAGCTGGGGAGGAGGGAGATAAAATCTTGACCTCTGCCTGCAAAATTATCTTGTCTTCCCAGATTAGACCATAAAACTAGACTTCACATACTGGTTTTCACTAACCAGACTTAAAGGCTGGTAGTATGCTCCCTCTCTCAAAACAAATGCAAAATGGCTGATCAAGGCTCCTTTGAGTTTCCTCATTACATGTTCCAAAACTAGAAGGTGCCCAGCAAAGTTAATTATTCAAAGGACTGAAGCCACAGAGATAGTTCATGTGTCCATGTGAGGTAGCGACTGCTCAACAGCACGGCAGGAAAGAGTTCTGTCTCTAACAAATATGCCACACCTATACCAAATAACAGTGTAGAAACTACCTCAGTGCATTTGCCTGATGCAGAATCACGGAGCATCTTCCCTTCCCTTGCCTAAATAAATAACCTTAGCACTTGCATTTTGGTTAAGCATTTTCACAGGTCTTGTCTCTTGCACATTCAGAGTAATTATAGAAAGTTTATACAAGCCTGAGCCTGGAGCAGTCGAACTAGAGTTTTCCTTCCTTAGCTTTAGAGAGTCTTTGCTCCTTCCCTTCTACCTTTCAAGCAGCTGTGAAACAGTGTGCAGGAGCTTGTTTCAGAAGCCTGGAGTACTTCATGTGAGCCTCTGTTGACTCAAAAGTGATTTTACAAGATTGCCAAGGAATTTTTCAGTTCAGTGTAGCTGCACCTTTGAAAGGCTCAGCCCTAAGTGTCTAAAATAATATTTCATTTTCTGAATGGTAATGTTTTCAATAAGGGGAAATTACCCCTTCTTGTGAATGAAAACCAGACTTCGTTTCTGTCATTTACTCTCTATCCTTTAGCATCTCTAATTGTGCACTCTTCCAGTACCACTGCAACAATTTCTAAAATCCCCTCTGGCTTTCCCCTAGACTTGGAATTTGAAAATTTAAAAATCCCTTTTGATCCTATATTCCAGTCTGGTACAAGTAAACAACCATCAGTGAGTAAACATGGTGCTAGGAGCCAGTCTGCCAGTCCATAGCTTCCCTGCTGCTTCCCACAGGTTCCTGCCAGTCTCTGATATCACCTTATCATCATTGTGATAGATTGAAGCATTATCTCAGTTGGTGAGAGCATGGTGCTGTTAACGCCAAGGTCACACGTTCAATCCCCATTCAGGCCATTCACTTAGAGAATTGCACTTTATGATCCTTGTGGGTCCCTTCCAACTCAGAATATTCTGTGATCCTGTGTTATTCCCTGCAGATTTCCCACCTGTGATCTAATTTCAAGTTGTTTGGACAGAATAATATCAAACAGAAAATTGAGAGACACTTGATGCTCATTAGGAAAAGATGAATATTTCATTTATTCTCCTCAGTATACCTTTTTCACTTTACTGAAAGTCCATTAGCATCTCATATGAAGGTTCACACCATCTCTGCTCCAAGTGCTGCCCAACCCAGCCACATCTTAATGATTCCTTTTCTCTTACCACACTGAAGAAATTCATGCCTTCAAAAACAGTTTATTTAGTTGCCCCAATATATTTTTATATTTTGCTTTCTTCCCCCCTCAACTTTAATTGACTGGCTTGTGTTCTTGACAGCTAAAGAATGGTTCAGTTCTACTAGGAATGACCCCTCCTCAAACCCTTTGACCCTTAAGACATTTTTGTGAAAGCAGCTGCCATGAAAACAATTTGTTGTTGATCTGAGTCCAAGAAATAAACACTCTGTGTTCCATATATACATATTCTGAGCTATACTTTAAATGTCACATAATTTTAACTTTGTATATAACCAGAATTTTTCTCCCTGCAGCTTATACTTTTGCATTATGCATTTATGTAAAATGCATTTAGCCAGGAGTAATCCTTTGAAATTCTCATCTTTATTCCACAGGGGAAAATTATGGACTGGCTTCTACTTACACAAATCTAGAAACAGTCATCTGAGTTACTTTATAATTTAACTCCTTAATTTGCATCTAAACTTTAGTCCACTTTCTTCCTTTGTTTTAAGTTTGATTGATAGGTTTAAAATCATCCTGTGACTATTGCCTTTGATTCATATTTTTATTGAATGTATTTCCATTTTGTCTTTTCATATTTTTTTTCTGATTAAACTATGTGTGTTAATTTTAATTCTGGTTACTTTTTACAAGATGCTACAGAATGATTTTTTTTTTCCAGCCTTATTCTGTTCAACTTCAATTCCATAAACACTCAACAGTTGCGTTTTCTGCAACAGTTTCTCATTTATGATGACACATTTTCCTCTACAGGAAAGATTTTCCTGAATTTAATACTTACTCCATCTTTGTAAATCTTGCAGTGTGTACTTTCACACTACTAGTCCATTTGCATACTTGTAATCTACCTTCCAAATTCATGAAATATTTGGTAAATAATCTCATAATATATTTAAATTCTCAGTCTTTGCAAACATGGCAAAACAAAATGAAAGTTTCATATTTGTATACACAAGTAAAATATATATTGTTGTATCTGATACTTCGCAAAGGGATTTTCTAACTTTTTTGTGCAGCCAAGTTTCAGCAACGTCACATCTTTTGTTAAGCATATTAAAAAAGTAGCCATGAAGCTTTCTCCCCATTATTTCCTATGAGGACTTTTGCAAAAGCAGCCCCAGGTATTCAAGTCAAACCTGAGGGGAGCAAGGACTATCGACAGGATCACTGAAAACACTGCTTTCAACATATGGCTTGGAAAGAAGAACTAGAAATTCAGAAAACCCAGAAAGAATTATATTATTCTAGTTTTCCACATACCATTCTTATCTATTTCTTTCCACCAATTTATTTGTATCCACTTCTTTTACTCTCTATCCAGCTATCCCCTGCTGTTCATGCACACTGCCCCACTAATACCAGCACCTGCAGTTTAGACAGCTTCTTGATCTATTTTTGCCACAGGCGATTATTGGATTTCATTTTAGAACTGGTCAACACCCACCAATCCCACCGCGAAAAATACTTTTGAAGAAATGCTATCCAAACAGAAAGCAGCTAAAAATGCTTTCAGCTGTTGTTCACATCCCCCATGATTTCAGGGATTTCAAAGCCAAAGGGAAAGCCAGACCACCTAGCCTGTTCTTGTTGTCACAGACATTAAGATATATTACCCAGTAATACCATGCTTTTGAAGGTTTTCAGTATCAAGTAGTACTCATGCTCATTTTCCTTTCAGTATTACTGATATAAGGAGAGAAGAATAGTCCTTTTTAAGGTGCACACAAAGTAAATAATATGAGATGGTCTGCTCTTGGTTATAGCAGACATGGATCTGTTCTGTATAAATTGTAATGGGCAAGTGTTACAGTGAAGGCAGTGCTCCAGTCACTGAAGGCAAATCCAACAGGTGAGAAAATAAATCCATCTAACAAATTCATTGTGGTAGCAATGCCCCACAATATTATATCTTCAAAATGCTGACCTTTTTTCCACCTTCTATTCCTTCAACTGGAGGCAGGCATGTTCTGCTCAGCTGCTTTCTCCCCCGGGACTCAGCTACACACACCTTCCTGATCTCGCATTTCAGTTTAAGTCAGTTTAAGCAGTGAGTAGGCAGTAGCAGCCTTTGCTTTATATTTTATCTGCCTTGCAAATATTATAGGGGTCTTGCCAAGAGTGAGCTTACAAATATGGAAAGCTTACAAATATGGAAAAGGGGAAGTGGTACAGCTCATTGAACCAAACCATCTAGAATACATATGGCTCAGGAGAACAGGGCAGAAAAAAAATGACAAAGAATACCTGATGTTATTTTAAAAATTCATGGTCTTTCACTAGAAGGTCAGAACCATGAACAAATGCTCTCTAGGGCTACAGAGAATCCCTAATATTTCTTCCACAGAAAATAGATACAACAATAGCTAACAACAGCTATTATGGCTTCAAAAGGTACAGACCCCTGAGAATCTCTGCTTGCTTTCAAAGAAATTAAACTATTTGATTTTCATTCCTGGCATTGTGCAGCTCCTCAGGAGTTAAGGCAGGTGACCTGTTTTATCTGAGTCACCAGCCTAAATCAATTTCAATCCCACTGATCTGATTTACTACAAACTTCTCTTTCCACAGTGCAGCTCAACAGCAGGTCTGAATGAAATTCTTTTTTATCAAACTGTCCAGGCAATTCGAAGTAAGGAAGCAGTTTGTATCTATCAGTCTTAAAAACTCCTTCAGGTTCTAAGGTCTGTGGTCACGCAGTCTTATGGCCTTAACAGAACAGAAGACTTTTCTGTAAAGTCATAAAATAAAGCATTTTATATATAAAATGTACAAAGCCTTCAACAAATTGCATCCCTCCTTATTTTCCATCTGTATAAGCTACAATACAATGTTCATTTCCATTTACTAAATGGATATGGCTATAATTTTTTTTTAAATGGTACATGGTTTGTTTTTATTTTATCAGTGTGAGAAGTAGGAGTAATTTAATTGACATTATAATAGCAGTGACTTGCTATCCAGCAAAACAAATTGTGCAGCCTATTCCTTGCATACTGCTTGTTAGTTTCCTTGGTAACTTGTAATCATTTGCCTTTCTAAAACAGATGAGATGTCAACAAATATATACTGTAGTAGTGGTTTGATACATCAAAAACAAAAGTGCTGTAATGACAGGATAATAAATCTTAACATGAAAACTTAATGGCCACATTAGTGACATAATAACCATAGTCTCAGGTTCATGCTGCTCACCATTGCATACTTTTGTTTCATAGCATGGTTGTGACATGTAGTAGTACATGAAGCACCTTCCAGTGCACATTCTCCAAAATTAACTCCAGACTAAACATTTAACAGCAATCATTTAAAAGCAGTGCACCAGTACAAGAACCAGGGCAGTTCACCGACAAGAGAAAAGATCTAGGGAAGTTATTTTCTTTCTTTATTTGCCACTTGTGTGGCCATACCTGGAATGCTTCATCCAGTTGGGGTCCCCACTAATGACAAATATGAGCACACCACAAGGATTTTGGTTGCATGTAGAGAACATGACACACAAGACAGCAAATTTGCTTGGCATGTAGAAAAGCCTAATGGGGGAAGTGAGTACGGGCTACTCAGAGCCAAGATACTCATTTCAGAAGTGCATAGTAAAATGTCAGGAGGCAGTGTGTACTGATAGTAGGGTATTTTAAATAGTCTTAAGGAAAAAAAACCCCAAAATCTCACAATGATTAAGCTCTGAACCAGGTTGCCTAGAGATGCTGTGGGCTTTCCAATGCTGGAGACTTTTAAAACTCAGCGAGACAAAGCCCCAACCAACCCTACCTAACTTTGAAGATAGCTTTGCATTGAGTTGGACTTGATGACCTGCCATGATCCAAACTAAATTATTCTATGATTTCATGGTTGAATATTGGCAACTACAGCATAGATAGGCCTTTGGTATCTTTAGAGTTAAGCAGCAGCTGAAGAGGGATTTTAGTTGCAGTGATTATGTATGTATGGGGGGAAAAGTGTAACTTTGTGATGTCTTTTGGGACCTATGTTTCAGTTTCCAAAATCTTAAGGGATTACTTCAGTTGTGCTGCCTTGTACATCTGCTGTGAAAACTACTGCAGTAGTCTGACACACCTGTAATACCTGTTACTAAGATGATGAGGACAAAAGCAGGTTCTAACATCTCTAAGTGGCTAACTACTACATTTATCTCAAAACTACCCTAACTTCTTACAAATTGTACATCAGCATTTCAAAGAAGAAAAATATGACTGATCTACAGACCAGATATGTGACCACATATCCAAATATCTTTCTCTTCCCCAATATTTCACCAAGTAAGGCAGTGCTGGCATGTTTTTAGTGATGGACTAACTGTAGTTAGCAGAAACAAGTAGAACTAGGTAAGCTTCTAATAACACAGCTAAACCAGGGAACACAGAATGAACAAAGGAAAATAAATAATGAGGAAAGGAAGCTAAGGAAATATGTTAATTCCAGGGAGACCACCACCAATGTCTGATGTAAGATAGGTCAATATTGGGCAGGAGCACATGCTTTTAAATAACAGACATGAACTTTCAATAGTTTATTTAATCCATATTAAATAATTTGCTGCCTTGCTTATCTGTGTTTTAAATCTCCATGTTGCCAAGATTTGTGAGCCAAGTGGGATAAAGGCAAGAGCTCCCCAAGATTTTCTCTGTCCC